GGCCGAGCGCATTTGCGGGTCCTCGACTATGCGCCAGCTGTGACGCATCCGATAAAATAATTCCAGCTCTTTGTTGGCATTGTGTTTTGTCAACGAGTTGCCCAGTTGAGCTTCGGAATGAACCCATCGGATGATCACCTTGGTCCTGGCTTGCGCTTCCTTAAGACTGAGCAACTCGATGTTCGATTTCTTCTCTGCACCCTTGATGGAGAGAACCTCAGTATGAAGCTTGTCATAAACGTTCCGGGAATCCGTAATGACACATCCGGTCACCTTAGTGACAGCCTGATCTGGATCCTTAGTGGAGGGGGTGCCAAACAGAAGTTCACTCCACTGGTAACGAACGTAGTACAACTGATCCTCTCCATTGACAGCTGCCTGAGTCTCAGCTGCCCCTGGTGACCTACAGATCCTGTCAATCTTATGGGATTGCCAGGAGATTGGAGAAATCTTCTCCACTTCGCCTTGCAACAGACTTAAGGGAGCCATGCCTATGAAGATTCCTTGAGTGCTACCTCCATCCCTTCTGTTCTCATTGGCAGCATCGACCCAGGCGTAGCAGCCCAGTTCCACCTCAGGTGGAAAAGCATGGATCAGCATCTGATGCTGTCTCCTGGCCTTAGCGCTTTGCAACAGCTGATTGGCTTGAAGCACCGTGGAAACAGTACTCTCGTTCACACTGGAAAGAAGCAACCCTACTTCCGCAGAGAGGTGAGGTGCAACCTGTTGAGCGTGCCATGAGACTGCCCCTAGTAAGGCCCTCAGCTTGGTCTTTTCCCAAGCTGTGGTCGGCTGATTGCCGTCCTTGCGGCGAGAGCCGTGCACTGCGATCTCTGGAATATCTTCCACGTAGCGAGCTTGTGACAACAGGAATCCCTGGTCGGTCTGCTGAATGCGAACTCCGCACTGGATGAAGTCGTCCTGTTCCCAGTCGCCCCATTTGAAGCGCTCTTTGATCTTCTGAAGTATGGCCTGCCATGCCTGATCTGTTTCTGATCCGGCAAACAGGAAGTCATCCACGTGGCCACAGATGATGCCCCGAAGTTTCCCTGCCACTCTCCAGGCCCACACGCAAGCATCAGACCAAAGACGAACCAAACCCAGTTCCTGGAAATACTCTGAAACCGTTCTATACCATTCCAAAGGAGCATCTACCAAACCGTAGCATGCTTTGCGCAACTTGGTAATGGAACCTGGTGGAATCTGCATGGCTGCACATATCTCTGGGCACGGGATGCAAAACAGTTGATCAGGATAATTGCGCCCTTGAAGGAATGCTCCAGTCACATCTCCTTTATGGACTCGCCAGGAGTTGTTGGCTGCTGCCTGCAGGACCAGTTGTCTCGATTGACGAGACATGACAGGAGCCGTTGTAGCTCGATGAGCGTAGGCCGGGTCTTGGTAGCCTAATAAGACGGCCCTGGCCTTTGGCTTCCGACTTCCATCCTCTTTCACCTTCCAGGTAAGTAGCCATCTCATATTGACAGCTTGGTCGCGACTCGGAGCCAAATGTTCTGGCAAACTTTCAAATGCATTTGATGCCACAAAGTTGTTCACTTCCACCTGTTTGGCATTCTGGAAGAGCTGATATTCCTCTGGCGATAAGTGTTTCTCAGAGACTTCCACAGCTCTTCGCTTCAGTGCTCCCACAAAGTAGGCTTGCAGGCACTGGTTGGCCTTGTCCCAGCCTTGCCTGGTCGTTGGCATGTCTATAGCCACCTCGACGGCGGCTGATTGGCTGCTCCAGAAGGCGCTCTCCTGTGAGAACCAGGCTGTCTCTGGCACTCTCTGGTACCAGCGCTCGGCTGCGGTGTGGCCTCAAGGTGGGGCTGGTTCCGTGGAGACCATGGCTCGTGACCTTGAGCCTGTTGCTGGCTCCCATCCTGCTTCATCCATTGTAGGCTCCACGGGTTCGGGTTGAGCTCGCTTGCCTCGAAACCGAAACCTAGGCGGAAGCTCTTCTTGCTGAGGGTCTTGCGCCCTCTGCCACTCCTCGGCAGAAGGAGCCTCCATGGAGACATCCTGAAACTGGTTTCCGCCGATCTCCTCAGCCACCTTGGTGAATGTCCAGGGAGTAGGGTCCTGGCCATGTCGTGTCGCCAGAGATTCTAGCAGCTGTTCTCTTTCGGATGCGTGGCGAAGTTGTTCCACACAGCACTTGATGAGGTTTCTGCCGCGAACACACCAAACTGTGCTTCCCGCTCGAAGGCTCCCATCTGGCTCTCGCTTGGATTCCACTGCCAAAACCCTAGCAGGTCCTGGGAACCTCCCGTACTTAGACCCTGGGGCCTTTCGGCCTTGTCCGGACTCCTGGGTTCTCCAAAAATAAATCAGATCCCCAGCTTGGTAATCAGCTCGCGGCCTGGCCTTGGAGTTCTTGGCGCGGGAAATCCTTTGTGCAGCATGCCACTCTGCATGGGCCTTCTCGGCCTCTGCCCGCAACCGGGCAGAAGTCTCCAGCTCTTCGGTGGCACTCTCAACCACCAATTCGTCGGGTATGGAAATAGGATTTTGTAAAAGACGACCAGTTACATCGGGATTCCTACCAAAGACATGTTGAATGGGGGAGAATCCACGTATCTGTTCTCGAGCATTGAATGTAGTAACGGCGTGGGCCAACGCTGTTTCTGAGCTCAATCCTTCTTGGGCGGAACACAACTTATCCATCACCCCTTTCAAACCCTGAATGGCCTGTTCGCAAACACCAATGTGCCAGTGCCCATCAGCAGGAATGTTGTCTAAGAATATCCCTTCCTGATCGCAGAAATCCACCAACTGTTGACTCCGAAAAGCCCCGGCCGCATCCAATCGAATCGCCCTCGGCATTCCGAAGTACTGAGCCCAACCTTCCCGAATGTACTGGATGCAAGTACCCGCATTGGGTTGCTTCTTGGATCCACGGGACAGGATCTTAGCCGTACGGAACCTGCTACCCTCATCGATGATCACCATAAACTGAACGATGTCTTGGGTTTCGGGATGACTCCAGTGTCCAATATCCATGCTAATGGTGTGAAGCTTCGGGGGCAGGGCTTCAAGGGAGGCCAGGTGACGTGGTTGGATTCGTTGTTTCTCCAGACACGCCGAGCACTTGAAGTTTTCAGCTAACTTGATCACCTCGGGGTCCACGTTCCTACGCTTCAACATGTTGACCAGGCTTTTGGTGCTTCCATGGCCCGTGGCCGCGTGCAGTTTGTACAGCTGTTTCTGGATTTGTTCCGGGCTTTGAAGGGGACTATGGGTTCCTAACCTCAAACCCTGGGCCACCAACGCGTGTTCCGAGCTCTGGTTGTCCGGTTCTTGCTTCGGAAGTTTGAACCCAAGACTCTGAAGTTCCTCTCTCTCAGCTTCCGACAAATAACAGTGCCCTCTAGTCACATACAAACCCACAACCACGCGATTGCCCTTCCACGCTTGCGGTCCATGCCACGCCTTGGGGGAGAAGGTCTGCACCTTCTCGTAGATGTCGAGTAGTCGGCCCGACGCCCGCTGCCCATTGGGTAGTGCCTGTAGCGAGGCACTCCCCTCTTCCTCTTCTTTGGAACCCTGGTTCTCCACCCAGAGTTGTCCACCCTTGTAGTTACCCGGTCCAATGACAGAATTCGGGTACTGATTGTCATTGTGTTGGTCCCGATGCATCGGGCATCTACCATTGTAATTGACGACTAGGGAAGTTCCATAGAGGGTTTCTGGGCTCCAGTATTGAAGATAGGCCACTAAGTAGGTCACGACGTTGGGGTAGCGTTGGGTTCTCTTGGTAATACCGTACTGGTTTCCGTAGGAATACGCGCCGAAGATGAGATACTTTCGGGATTGGGGGTCCAACATACCTCTCCGTCCCTCATGCTGCCGACAGGGTATCATGTCCAAAAGCTGCTCACATGTCTCATGTTGGAAATCCCTACTCTTCAACACCCTAGCCGCAACCTGTTCCACCTCAACCTCAAGCGCCACACAACTCAAGTCCTGTTCCTCAGCCTGCTCTAACCAGAACCCTTCTTGATCATCAGTCTTTGGGCTGGCCAAGCAGTTAGCACACCTACGGGGTCTCTGGGGCAAGGACACATGTTTGCATTGACACCCGGAATCCTGTCCGAAAGCCTGAGGAAGTTCCGAAACCCCTTGACCCTGAACCTCTTGCAAAAGACTCACATGATCCAACTCTTGAAGAATCCCTTTTGCAGCCCTCTGAGCGAACTCCTTGGTGTACACCTCGCTCGGGTTGGCATCGCCCCCCGTACATTGTCCGTGCTTGTACTGTGGTGAACATCGGCATGGGAGGTTGAGGCTTTCGGCCAATCTACGGTGGGTGGTGAGAATGCGCCATCCCTTTTGAAGCAACAAACCCTTCTGATTCCGCATATTCACTCTACATCCCTTACAAACAGCTTGATGCAGTTGGCACTGTTCACGCAGCTGACTAAAAATGGGAAGTCGCCAGGCTTGACATCGCTCGGCCATTTCCAAGCTCACGTGGATGCCCTGTTGCATACATGCCCTAAGGATCACACAAGCACCAACGTACTCACGTATAACCCTCTCTCTCTTGTTCTGCAGTTCTTGTTTCTGTTCCTTGGTTTGACAGTTGTTGTTCTGCAAGGGGGAATAGGGTCCTACCGTGGGTCTGATCCAGACGTGAGCTGGTCGCTCCAGCTCCAGCCTCTGCAACACCAAGCGAACTCCACTATCGGTTCCCAAGTCACAACCATCATGAATGGAACATGTCACAGCGGCTTCTGAGTTTCCCCTGAGATCCTGGATCTGGCGCGACAACAGACTGTCTTGCCTGCTGGCAATCTCCATGAGATCCGTGCGCCCTTGTCGAACCAAACCCTCAAAAATCTTAGGAACCACAGACCATGCTTCTCCTTCTAAGTGACGGGCCTTGCCTAGCGAGAGCTGAGCACTGAGACGTTCTGACGCACTAAGTTTCGGGCCTCTGGCTCGACTAGGGCTGCGGCTCCCACTATTCTCCTCATCAGAAGAGGTCTCACATTGGCTCACAGCTCGCCGTCGGGCTGAGGGATCTGTTCCGTGGTCTCCTGGGTCTCGTCCTCGTGGCCCCGTCCTTTCTTGCCTCCTTTCTTGCGAGGCAACTTCTCGTCCTTGATGTTGGAAACCTCGGTCTGGAGCTGCATCATCATGTTCATCATCGTCTCCATTTTGGCCTCCAGCTGACTCGTCTGGCTCCCGGTAGAAGAAGCACTCTCGGTCCCGAGTGGCTCCTTCGTGGCAGCCGGTTTGGTCGCCGCCTTCGGGTAGCCCTTGGTCCACATGGCCGGCTTCGCCATCACTTCCTTGAGCTCGCGGTTGGCGGGAATCATCTCGGCATTGGTCCTGGCGTCCAGCCACTTGGCAAACCTCATCAACCGAGGGTCGCAAACCTCGCCCTTGGCTGTCTGCTGCACCCATGTGCAGTACTGAGCATCGGCCTGCAATGCCTCGAGGTAGCTCTTGTCGGCATGCTTCCCGAAGCCCACAGGGTCCTTCGCATGGGGATTGGTGATCTCCAGGATGCGCTGCACGGCCACCATCTCCAAGCGCGCCACCGTGTAGCTCTCCACGTTGGTCAGGCGGAGCCGATCGGTGACGAAGCGCTGAAGTTCGGACTTGCGCTTGTTGGCGGCTTGTCGCATCTCCTTCATAAGCTGGTTGTACTCGGACTCGTCGTTCATTCCCAGCTGGCGGCTGGTCTTGCTCAGGTCCTCGCCTGTCACTTCGGCCAGGCGGCACCGGAGTTCCACTGTGGTCCAGGACTTCGGCGGGTTCTCGCCGGCTGCAACCAAAGCGGCCACCAGTTGAGGCTTCTTGAGGTCGGACATGTTCTCGCTGTAGAGGACAACAAGGACACGTGTTCACACTTGGGTCACGAACGGCTCTGGTTGGGGGCATGACGTTGTGGCTGTCGGTCTCACTGAGTCCTTCCCTGACAGAATGGTGAACACTAGAATCGGTCTCCATCCTAGCACCGTCATACCTCATAGCATCACCTTGACAGCTTATACAATGACTTCCGGGAGCCGGCAAAATGCTAGCATTGGCAACACAACTGGATTCAGCTGTGGCAAACCCCTGTCCTGAAAAAGTCTCTGCAACCTTTCCCTTCTCGTCAGGACGCGATGAGGAAAGGAGTTGTCCCTACTCGGCATGAGGGAGGGCCTTAGCCGAACTCTTCACATAATCCCTCAGCCCTGGAACCGGTGTGTGCGTCGGGGACGCGCGGGAGAGCAAATCCTCGGTTAAAGAGAGCAGGAGGTGTCCAGTATTGGACTCCTCCAGCTGCAAAACTTGGCGATCATCAATGCCTCGTAGCACCATGGTGCCATCTGAAAAATCGAGAACCGCCTTGAGCCTCTTGAGTGTCGCCACGCTGAGCAGGATGGGAGCTTCGCCTTTGTCGAGAGCGTGAACTTGAAGAGTGCCGGGTCGGCCACCGGCGCTCAACTGCAGGTGCAGTGTGCTCACACACTTGTCTTCAGTCGAATTACCAAACCCAAATACTGGCTGATTCTGTAAGTCCACTTTGCTCCCGACATTCTTGGAAAGCTCCATAACCCGCTCCAAAGCAAACACTGATCCCAGGCTGCGAGTGGCGCCACAGTCCACCACAGCTTTGCCTGCGCGAACTGCCTCTGCCGTGGTGACCTTGTCGATGGATTCGGCCTCGGCGTGAAGAGCCTCCTCGACTCCCTGTGGCTCGGCATAGCACACAAATGGTGCCATCTGCTTGCTTCCCGGGCTGGGCTCCTTCGGCTTGGAAGCGGGACAATTGGCGGCCCTGTGTCCCACTTCCCCGCAGCGGAGGCACGTAATGTGATCATCATTCTTGTTGCTTGGTCCACTGCGAGCGCTGGGCCCCTGGTAATATTGGCGATTGAGCCGGACTTGCTTCTGCTTCTCCCGGGCGCTGCGCAAAGTGCGCTTGGCGGTGTGGAGTGTCGCAAGGGCACTCTGAACTTCGCCTTCGGCAGCTGTCCACATAGCGAGTCCTTCTTCATTGAGTTCCTCGGCTGCCTCGAAGTTCACCTCAGAGTGCGGTGCCTCGTCATCCTCGGATTCCTCGGGCTTTTCTCCCCAAAACCCGTGGTGTTTCCGAGCTGGATCCCGACGGCGAAGCTCGCCTTCAGGAAACTGTGTGCGCAATTCCTGCGCGACTCTCTGCAGGGTCAGATCCCCTTGCACTGCTGTTAAGATCATGTTGCGCTCACTGGCCTCCAGATTGGTGTCGGTCAGCAGCAGCCAGGCCTGGATGAACTCGGGTACAAGATCAGGAAGGCTTGTGGGGGTCGTGGCGGCTGCCGGCCGCCAGTTGTTCCACTTGTAACCGTTGCTGGTGCGTCCCGATCAAGCAACAGAATGGCTGAAAGGCTTCGATGCACAGCAGTTCTATGGCTCCGGCGAACGGGAGTATGCTAACTGCTCGGGCACCCTCCTTTTGATCACTCTAAGCTGCGATCGCTGAAACATCATGTGATAAAGCACAGAGAACTCGCAGAGTTCTTGCAAACCCTAAACCCTATAAACCCTAAACTCTATAAGCCCTAATCCCTAAACCCTAAACCCTATAAGCCCTAAGCCCTAATCCGTGTTGCCTTGAGGACCACCGCAGAGCATTTCGTGGAGGGTGAGGCCTCGAACTTTCACGCGCGAGGATTGCCTCGAGGCCCTGGACTACCCTAAGGCTCTTCTTGGGTTTAGGGGTTAGGGTTTAGGGGTTAGGGTTTAGGGTTTAAGGGTTTACCCTAAGGCTCTTCTTGCTGTTCTGGGCTTTCTAGAGGAAGGTTTGGGCTTTGGGGGGCGAAGGTTTGGGCTTTCACTTTGGGGGTCCATGAGCCTTTGGGTATACATAAGAGACGGTGGAGGGTTTAGGGTTTTAGGGTCTACCTAGACCCCAAAGAACCTACCCTTTTAAGGACTTATATAAAGAAATCATAACAAGGAACCCTAAACGGGAGGTTCTTAAGGGTCCAGGTGCAGGGTTTAGGGTTTAGGACTTTAAAGCGCATTACTGCTTACTAGTAGAAGCCCGGTACTCCTACACTGTAAGCTGCGGGCGTCTGTGTGCTGAAAGCTCCTCCTGGGTTTCTAAGTAAGAAGGGTTTCAGGATTTGGACCGTGAGGGTTGATAGGCTTGGGGCCGGTTTGGGGTAGGGTTCTCCGGGCTTAGGGCTTTGAGGGCTTGGGTTTCAGGGCTCAAGGCTTGGAGGGTTTGGATCCTAGCTTGAGGGGTGTGGATCTGTTCAGGGATGCTTTGATTTCTGCGTACTGCCACGGCCCGGATGGCGGAGCAGAGAAGGCAAGATTCTCGTTGGAGTAGGCGCAGGAGCTGCCGTTGTAGCTGCACCTCAGCACCTTGAACTGGAAGGGCGTGTGCAACTCGTTATATCTTAGCAGCAGAGTAAGCAAAACCTTAGTTACCTAAATCCTAAACCCTAAACCACTGTTGACCTGGGCTTAGGCTTTACCCATAGGCCCCTAAGTAGTTCCTTTTTGGGATTACCTTACAGGATTCTAAAATATATGCCATAAACAGGAACTACTTAGGGGCCTATGGGTAGTTACCACAATCCCTATGTACTCCCAAGTGTGAACCTCCAGTTTTGCTAGGATGCTGGACATGTCAGCTCGCCAGACCCTTGAACTTCCATGATGGGATCCCTCTCAACCCGAAGCCCCCAAACCTTCCAATACACCGCCATTAAGGGATCTAACTTAAAAGTCTTTAAGTATAGTAGGATCCCTGATATGGTTTAAGGTGCATTCCTTCGTCAAGGGATCTTGGAAGGTCTGGGCCCTTAAACCCTAAACCCCTAAACCCCAAAACCCCTTAAACCCCCAAACCCCTAAACCCCTAAACCCCTATAAACCCCTAAACCCGGCCTGCTCCGCCTGACGCGATGAAGACAGTCACGAGATCAGTCGACCCAAACCGCCTTCGCCTCCCCAAAAACCGACTTTTTTCTCTAGGGCTTCTAGAAGTTCCGTCTTAGGGTTTAGGGTTTAGGGCTTCTAGAAATTCAATCTTGGGCTTTTAGGGTTTAGGGTTTCTTTATGTTCTTTTTTTAACTGAGAACCTTCAAAGCAGGTCGGTTTTGGTAGGTTAGGATACAACTACCCATGGGCTCCCTAGTAGTTCCTTTTTGGGATTACCGTATAGGATTCTAAATATGAACCATAAAAAGGAACTACTTAGAAGCCTATGGGTAGCGGCCAACGCTGCCCATTGAAGAAGTCCTTTTCTCGGTGGCCGCCGACGCCGAAACTGCACTCAACCCCGGTTTAGGGTGTTAGGGTTTAGGG